TGTTTTATATAGTTGGAGGCATTAATATTTGGTGCATATATGTTTATCATTGTCATCTCTTCCTCTTGAATTGTCCCCTTTACCAAGGATGTAGTGGCCTTTGTCTCTCTTAATAGGTTATGGTTTGAAATTTGCTTTGTCTGCAAATAAGATTGCTGCCCCTGCTTTTTTCTGGGCTCCTGTCGCATGGAGAATTGTTTTCCACCCTTTCACTTTCAGTCTATGGGCTTCTTTCTGCACTAGGTTTATTTCCTGTATACAACATATTGTTGGATTTTGCTTCTTAATCCATTCTGCCAGTCTATTTCTCTTGATTGGTGAGTTGAGGCTATTGACATTGATGGTTATAACTGATATGTCCTGACTTATTATTGTCAAGTTATTGGCCTTTTGTTGACTCTTTTTACTTTTTTTTCCCTCCCTTTTAGTTTCTGGCCTTTCTTATTTGATTTGGTCTATTGGTCCTCATGGTGTTATGACCTTCATTGTATTTTTCTAGGATATTGTTTAGAATTGCTTGTAGTGCTGGTTTGGCATGAAGTTTTTCAAGTGTTCTTTGTTGTGGAAGTATCTTATTTCCCCATCCATTTTGAAAAAGAGTTTTGCAGGTTGGAGGTTGTTTTCTTTTAGGACTTAAAATACCTCAATCCAGGCTCTCCTTGACCTGAGGGTTTGTGTTGAAAAGTCTGCTGTGATTCTGATGGGCTTTCCTTTGCATGCAATTTGTTTCTTTTCTCTTACTGCTTTTAGTATTTTGTTTTTCTGTTGTGTTTCTGGGATCTTGATTATTATATGTCTAGGTGTAGGTTTTTTTTTTTTTTTTTAATCATGGCTCTTTGGAGTTCTGTATGCCTCACTTCTCAGTATGTCAAATTCTTCCCCTCTGTTTGGGAAATTTTCTGTCATTAATTCTGTGAACAGCTATTTTAAGTCATTTGTATTTTCTACTGCTACTTCATGGATTCCTATCAGTCTTATGTTATTCTTCTTTGCATCATCTTGGAATTGTTGGATCAATTTCTCACGATCCCTTACTGATTTTAAGAGACCTCTCTTTTCACAGTCACTGAGTGCAATCCTATCTTCTATATCTTAGATTCTATCTTTGCATTCTTTTAGTCTGCTGTGAACACTTTCAGTAGAGTTTTTAATCTCCTGAATATCTGTTTGAATCTGTTTTATGGATTCCATTGCTTTCCTATGTTGGGTATTCATTTTTTCCATTTCTTTTTTTATGCTGGGCCTTCATGGCTTCTATTATGGTCCTGAGCTCATCTATTTTTTTTTTTTTGTCAGTTTCTGTTGTAGAGTCTTGAATCATGACTTTCATTTTGCTTACCATCTCTATGGTTATCTGGGAAATTATTTCTGTTTTGAATTTTTCCAGAGCCAGATTGATCTGTTTTATTACTTCCTGTGCTATGAGTTCAGGGTGTCCTGCTGATTCACAATCAGACTTTTCATCCTCATTTACCCTACTGTTTGCCATTGGTGCACTGGAAGTCTGTCTTTCTGTCTTGCTTAAATGTTTTCTCATTTTTATTTTTGATGTTGGGTTGTCCTTGGTTTAATTTCTGGGTTATTACTTAAATCTTCCTGATATAGTTGCGCTTTAGCTTTTGAGTCTCTGACTCATAGACATTCTCATTTTCTTAATATCAGAGAAGACAACTCATGAAATCAATCACAATCCTTTAGCCCAATTGATACAATCAGCAACACAGTAGGATCAAGCACAACTTACAAATTGACCATTCGTGGTAGTCACTAATCTATTACCTTTAAACCATGTGAATTAAATTAAAATGAAGGAGCTGCCCAAAATATGTTTGCAGTGAATATGCTCTTCAATATTGCAACTTTACCATTTAGGATGGGGGCTTAGACAGAGTTAGGATGAGAGGAGTAGATAAGAAAAAGAATTGGAGAAGGTTTCAAGTGAAGCCAGAGGACATAGTATGACCTTACAATCTTTAGGAAACTTAAATTCAAAAGGGAAAGACAGAGTGCAAGACTAAGGACAAGAATATAACCACTTAACAGTAATAGGGGCTCACTTTACTTTGAAACTATTGACCCTTGAGTGAGGTAAAATGACAGAAGAAAAGAACATAAAGAAGAAATGATAAAAGAAGAAATCTGAGTTAGGGCAGGAGCAGGAACAGAAAGGGAGATGAGGGATAATATGGTGGAGCAAGAGACCGAGGTGGAGAAAGAGGACAGGAAAAAGAAAGAATTTGCAGAATGGAATGAGGAAAAGAAAGAAAAAATGAATTTAAAGGGCCTTTTTCAGACTATATCTCTGCTGTCATAATATACAATGTGCACAGCCATGTGCAGGCCTAAGTCTTTTGATCTCAGCTAACTGATGGCAGACCCTTGAGATTCAGACTGATTTTGGGCTGCAAGGCCCAAATTGAGTTCCCTGACCTCCTGCAGGATTGAACTCCCCACAGTTCTACTACCTGTTCCCTCTGCCCTTTCTTTAAAAATGTTCAAAGTTAGGAGCTCAGAAAAATACCCTTTATGACCACCTATGCCTCTGCAGAGTGGATCCAAGCACTGGCACAATCAGGAGATCTGAGAGCAGAGTGGGGTGGAGATGGGGGTGTTCAGGGGCACCTGCACTGCTACCTTCCTTGCTGGAGCTGATGGCAGTGCAGGCAGGGGAAGGCGCAGCTACCCAGTCCTGCCTACTGGGCCCAAGCAGGCTTCCTTGTTGGCACTGATGATGGTGCCTATCTAAGTATTTTTAATGTTAATTTATTTAGTCTTCACAGTAATATTTTATGTATATCTGTGGATAAACTGTTACTTAAAATGTCTTACTATTAGATGAAGTGGGGTTCAGCATTAATTTCATTTTTTTAATGAGGTGAGCACTAAGAAATATTTATTACCCTAAGTAGTTAATGGAAATGGAAGATTGTATTGTTGCAATATTACTTTAATTTTTAAAACTTCTTTCAAATGTTGTGCTAGAAATAGTGCGTTTTTATTTTGAATAATCTCAATGACAATTGGTTAGGTACTTCTTCAATGTTGTTGAAATCACTAAAGTAGAAATAACTAATCTTGCAAATATTGTTGTGCAATTATTAAAGTACCTTCACTACAGATGGGTCTCCTGAAGAGGCTCCACTAAGGCTTTCTGATAAATATTAGCTACGTTTGAGCTCAGAAAATCATCTGTAGAGCCTTAGGTTTAGTTGCGCATTAGTCAGCTTTCCTTTCAGTGGAACACAATATCCAAAACCTGCCACTTAAAGTAGGGGAAGTTCAATTTGGCTAAACGTTCAGGGGATTCAGTCTATGGTAAGCAGACTCCAAGGCATAAATATCATTCTAGAAAGATGGAGTAGAGCAAAGATGATTAATTCATGGTAGCTGAAAGCAGAGCAGGGGAACAGTGCAAGAGGGGAAGGGATGAGGGACCAGACATAGTACCCAAGGTCATGCCTCCATGACCCAACCAAACACACCCAGAAATGTGTTCCATCAAGTTGACCCAATTAAGCTTAACCATCACAAGTTCATTCAACCTATGGAAAATATACCTAAAAAAGTTGGCTGAACCAGACCTTTTGTCAAACCAATAAGCTACTACTTTTCATTAGGAAAAAAGACTCCTTTAATGTTTAAATCAAATAAATTTAAACAAAATAAATACATTAATATGCATTCTGATAATTATCATCTTCCTTATTCTGTGTGTTTGTGGGGGGGTGTTGTGGCATTGGGGGTTGAACCCAAGTCTTTTCACTGAACTGCATCCTCAAGCCTTGTTTGTTTTTTTTTTTTTTTTTTTTTTGTGGGGGGGGTAAAAATATACCTAAAAAAGTTGGCTGAACCAGACCTTTTGTCAAACCAATAAGCTACTACTTTTCATTAGGAAAAAAGACTCCTTTAATGTTTAAATCAAATAAATTTAAACAAAATAAATACATTAATATGCATTCTGATAATTATCATCTTCCTTATTCTGTGTGTTTGTGGGGGGGTGTTGTGGCATTGGGGGTTGAACCCAAGTCTTTTCACTGAACTGCATCCTCAAGCCTTTTTTTTTTTTTTTTTTTTTTTTAATTTTGAGAGAGGGTCTCACTAAGTTGCCCAGGCTGAGCTGGATCTCATGGTCCTCTTACCTCATACTCCCAGGGGAATTAGAAGGACATGTCATCAAACCCAGCTGATGCTTTTTTCTCTTAAGTTTAATTTTATATGTCTACATTTTGACATGATATTCCAATAAGTTGCTCAGGCTGGCCTTGGACTTGTGATCTTCCACAACCTGCTGTCCAGCTGAGATTATAGATGGGTGCCACTGTAGTTTCTGTTCATGAAGTTTTATCTGGGTTTATTACTGAATGAAGTAAGGGACTAATTTACTAATGATTTTTTGTTTTCCTCGCAGAAGAATCTATCTTCAAGGACAATGCAGTTTGTGGTAACTAATTTAGAGGGTGAAGAGATAAAGTTGTGGAGCAAAAATTGTCAACAGTTCTGCAGCCTGACTCTATCATACATTTAAGATTGTGACATATCAACACAGATTTCTAAAACCTCAATTCATTATAACAGAAATAGGCTTTTGATTTTTTAATGAATTAATATATATATTTTTTTGGTGCTGGGGATTGAACTCAGGACTTTGTGCTTGCAAGGCAGGCATGGTGCCACTGAGCTAAATCCCCACCACTAATAGAAATAGATTTAAGGGGCATGTCTATAACTCAGTGGAATAACACCTGTCTAGTTTGTCTGAGTCCCTGGGATCTATCACTACCACCTTAAAGCTCAATAAAATGAAACAAGGCTTCAGACAGAGAAAGATTCTAAGGTCTACTAGGGATTTTTGATGTGTTGATTAAAGATGGTTTCATCAACTCAAATATCTTGAATTATCTCGCTGTTTTCTCTATGCAATTTTCTTTCTCAGGGCAATACAACACAATAACTTTTGGAATGCGTGAGAGACATGCCTTTCATTTCTTTTTTGTTGTTTAAATATGAAACATTTCATGAATTTGCATATTGTCCTTGTTCATGAGCCATGCCAATATTATCCGTATTGTTTCAGTTTTGCTGTATGTGCTCTTGAAGTAAAGATGATGTTATTTTGTAATTATGAAAGGTAAGGAGATGTAGGCTAGAACAGATATGATATCTTGACTCAGAAACTTTCTCAGCCAGATCAAGTTTAGGAAGAAATATCCATGGAATTTGAGAATTTGGAAATTGATGCTCCTAAAACTATTGATGTCCTTTTATACCTCAAAATTTCTTGGAGTACATGCAGTATCCATTAGTTATGGAAAGCATAGAGAAGGTAACTTTCATAATAAAACACCTGGAAAACCCAAGATCATTATGAGGCTGAGGTGCACTGTTGGTTTCCAAGTGTCTGACCACTGCAGTGTAGTTATAATAGTAGGGTTTGGCTTGAGGGTAGGGTTAGCATTACGTTTAGGCGTAGGAATAAATTCACCATTTCACCACCTATGTATTTTTTTGTGTGTTTGAAAGTGAGTGTTAGTGTTAATTTTAGAATTAGGGGTAGGAATGATTTAGGAATGCTGATAGCTGTGTTGCGGCTCCTGATAGCTTCAGGGTTAGGGGTTAGGGATGGGTTCAGTGATCACCTTGGAATTTATGTTCCTGGGTGTTGGAGTGTGGTTTTCATAGTTAGTATCAGCATCTGGTTTGGCCTTATGGTTAGGAATAATGCATGATTTCAAGTACTGCTGTATAGGAATTTGGGAATCATGCCGACGCTTTAGGGATAGGGTTACATTTGGTGAGCGAGATATGGATGGAATTCAAGTGTCTGATAATTTGCTTGTGAGAACGAAAGTGAGGGCAAGGATTTTTATGAGGTTGAGGTGTACCGTGGGTTCCCAAGTACCTCAGCATTGCAGTGTAGATACAATGCACAGTGTTTACTTGAGTGTAGGGTTAGCGGTAGGTTTAAGTGTAGGAATAGACTTGGGATTTCACTAGTTGTGTACTGTAGTGTGAGACTGATGGTAAATTTTCATGGTAATTTTATGAATTGGGTTAGGAATTATTTAGGAATGTACATACCTGGGTTAGGGCTAGCGGTAGGGTTAGGGTAGGAGTCAGTGATAACCTTGGAATTTCTGTACCTAGGTATTGAAGTGTGGGTTTCATAGTTAGTATCAGCATTATATTTGACCTTATGGTTAGGAATAGTGTAGGATTTCAAGGACCACTGTATTAGAATTTGGGAATCATGTTTCTGGTTAGGGGTTGTGTTAGGAGTGGTGAGAGGGATTTGAATGGATTTCAAGTACCTGATGATTTGTGTGTGAGAATGAAGGTTAGAGCAGTGATTTTTATGAGGCTGAGGTGTACTGTGTGTTTCCATGCACCTGAGCATTGCAGTTTGGATATAATGGGTAGTATTTGGCTTCAGTGTAGGGTTAGCATTAGCTTTAGGGGATGAATAGACTTGAAATTTCACTACCTATGTAAGGTACTGTGGGTTTGATGGTGAGTATTAATTTTAGGATTAGTTTTAGGAATTATTTAGAAATGTAAGTACCTGTGTTACGGCTCTTAGTAGCATTAGGGTTAGGGTTAGTGTTGGGCTCAGTGGTAGCTTTGGAATTTCCGGACTTGGGTATTGGAGTGTGTGTTTCATAGTGTCAGCATTAGATTTGGCCTTAGGGTTAGGAATAGTGCAGGATTTCAAGGATCACTATAGTGGAACTTGGGGAATCATGTTCACCATTAGGGTTGGAGTAAGGAATGCTAAGAGGGATATGGATGGATTTAAAGTTACCTGATAATTTGCATGTAAGAATGAAGGTTAGGGAAATGATTTTTATGAGCCTGAGGTGCACTGTGGGTTTTCAAGTACCTGAGCATTGCAGTGTAGATGTAATGAATAGTGTTTGGCTTGATAGTATGGTTAGCATTAGGTTTAGGGGTAGGAATAGACTCAACGTTTCACTGCTCATGTACTGTATTGTGGGTTTGATGGTGAGTGTTAGTGTTAATTGTAACATTAGGGTTAGGAATGATTTAGGAATTTAAATACCTTTGTTATGGCTACTGGCAGGGTTAGGGTTAGGGTTAGGTTTGGTGTCAGTGTTAGCCTTGTAATTTCTGTACCTGGCTATTGGAGTGTGGGTTTCCTAGTTAGTATCAGCATTAGATTTGGCCTTAGGGTTAGGAATAGTGTAGGACTGAAGTACTGCTGTATTGGAATTTGGAAATCATGCTATGGTTAGGGTTGAATTGGTGAACAAGACATGGATGGAATTCAGGTGCCTAAAAATTTGTTTGTGAGATTGAAGGTTAGGGCAATGATTTGTATGAGGCTGAGGTGTACTGTGGATTTCCATAAACTTGAGCATTGCAGTTCAGATATAATAGGTAGTATTTGGCTTGAGAGTAGGTTAACGGTTAGGCGTAGGGCAGGAATATACTTGATATTCCACTACCTGTGCATTGTATATTGTAGTGTGGGTTTGAAGTTGTGCGGTAGTGTAAAATTTACATTTATGGTTAGGAATGTTTTAGGAATGTAATTACCTGTGTTACATCTCCTGACACAATACATAGGTAATGAAATGTTGAGTCTAACCCTACCCCTAAAACTAATTGTAACCCTGAACTCAAACCAAACAATACATTTTACATCTACATTACAATGGTCAGGTACTTGCAAACACGCAGTATACCTCAGCCTCATAAAAGTCATCCTAACCCTAACCCTAACCGTGAACATGATTCCCAAGTTTCAATATAGCAGCCTTTGAAATCCTACACTATTCCTAACCCTAAGGCCAAATTTAATGCTGATACTAACTATGAAACCCACACTCCAATATTGAGGTACAGAAATTTCAAGGCTATCAGTGACCGTAACTCTAACTCTACCAGTAGCCATAACACAGGTACTTACATTCTTAAATCATTCCTAACCCTAATCCTAAAATTAACACAAACACTCACCATCAAACCAAAACTGCAATAAACAGGTAGTGAAATTTCAAGTGTATTCTTGTCTCTAAACTTAAGGCTAAACTTACACTGAAGCCTAACTGTCTGAATTATATCTACAAGGCCATGTTCAGGTACTTGGAAACCCACAGTACAACTAACAATCATACAAATCACTGCCCTAACCTTGATTCTCTTACACAAATTATCAGGTATTTGAAGTGCATTCATATTCCTCTCATCAATCCTAACACTAACCCTAAATGTGAATATGATTTGCAATTTCCAATATAGTGGTCCTTGAAATCCTACACTATTCCTAACAGTAAGGCCAAATTTAATGCTGATACTAACTATGAAATCCACAATCCAATACCCAGGTACAGAAATTCCAAGGCTATCACTGACCCCAAACCTAACCCTAACAATATCAGGAGCCATAACACAGGAAATTACATTCCTAAATCATTCCTAAACATAATGGTAAAATTAACACTGACCCTCCCCATGAAACTCACACTACAATACACAGGTAGTGAAAGGTTGAGTCTATTCATACCCCTAAACTTTAAGGTGAACCCTACACTAAGCCAAACACTATGCATTATATATTCACTGTAATGCTCGGGTATTTGGAATTGCACAGAACAGCTCAGCCTCATAAAAGTCAATGCCATAACCTTAATTCTCACATGCAAAGTATCGGGTACTTGAAATCCATCCATATCCCTCTTACCAATCCTAACCCTAAGCCTAACCGTGAACATGATTCCCAAGTACCAATACAATGGTTCTTAAAATCCTTCACTATTCCTAACCCTGAGGCCAAATCTAATGCTGATACTACCTATGAAACTCATACTCCAATACCCAGGTAAAGAAATTACAAAGCTATCAGTGACCCCAACCCTAACCCTAACCATACCCCAACCATTAGCCATAACACAGGTACTTTCATTTCTAAATCATTCCTAACCCTAATCCTAAAATTAACACTAACATGCAACATCAAATTCACAGTACAATACATAGGTAGTGAAATATCTGTTCTACTCCTACCCCTAAAGCTAATGCTAACACTACACTCATGCCCAGTACTGACCATTATATCTATCCTGCAATGTTCAGATTCATGAAAACCCACAGTACACCTTAGCCTCAAAAAAATCATTTTCCTATGCTTCATACTCACATGCAAATTATCAATTACTTGAATTCCATACATATCCCTCTCAACAATCCTAACTGTAACCCTAACTGTGAATATGATTCCCAAGTTCCAATACAGCAGTTTTTGAAATCCTACACTATTCCTAACCCTAAGGCCAAATCTAACACTGATACTAACTATGAAACCCACACTCCAATACACAGGTACAGAAATTCCAATGATACCAGTGACCCCAACTGTAACACTAACCCTAACCATACTATTAGTTGTAACAGAGGTACTTACATTCCTAAGTCATTCCTAACACTAATTTTAAAATTAACACTAACACACAACATCAGACGCATACTGCAATACACAGGTAGTGAAATGTTGATTCTACTCCTACCCATAAAGCTAAAGCTATCCCTACACTACAAACACTGACCATTATATCTACACTGCAATGCTCGGGTACATGTAAACCCACAGTACAACTCAGCCTCATAAAAATTATTGCCCTAAGTTTCATTCTCACATGCAAATCATCAGGTTCTTGAAATCCAAGCATATCTCTCACCAATTCTAACCCTAGCCCTAACTCTGAACATGACTCCCCAGTTTCAATACAGTAGTCCTTGAAATCCTAATCTAGTAATAACACTAAGGCCAATGTAATGTTGATACTAACTATGAAACCCATAGTCCAATACGCAGGTAGAGAAATTCCAAGGCAAACACTGACTACAACCCTAACCCTAGCCTTAACCATATCAGGATCTGAAACACAGGTAATTATACTCCTAAATAATTCCTAAATATAATGGTAAAATTAACACTGACACTCACAGTCAAACTCACACTACAATACAGAGGTAGTGAAATGTCAAGTGTATTCCTATACCTAAATCGAATGCTAACCCTACGCTGAAGCCAAACATTGTGCATTATATATACACTGCAATGCTCAGGTACTTGGAAACCC